ACCATTGGGCCTGGCAGCACAGAGCTCATTGGTGACATCGATAAGTGATGTCTCCTGGAGCCATGGGGATGAAAGTTTGGTCAGAATGAGTTCTAGAGAGAAGGGTGGGAGATGAAGCTATGGTAGTGAGTGTGGATGACTTTTTCCATTTGATTTATTTCTGTTTCAAAATAACCCTGTGAGATGGGCAATCATCCCCGTTTTATAGATTTGTAGTTGAGGAAACAAACTCTCAGAGAGGTTTAAGTGAATTCCCTCATAGCTAGATGCTTCTCAAAAAGGCTTTCTTCCAGTCCTTCTAATTTTAGCCACCCCTTTCCCCAACCCTCATTCCAGAGGTGTCTGGAGCTATCAGTTCCTGAGGCTTTTGTGGATTTTTATAGTGTACATTGGGCTAATTCTCAGCTTTTCCTGTTGTTAGCTGTGGATTCAGCATTCTTAGATCCACAAAGTCATTTATCACTTGTCTTGTCCCTTAGCTTTTCGGCTTCCATAATTTTGTGATTATTGTCTGAGCTGCCAAGAGTGATTTCAGGCCCCAGGAACCTCTCCTGGACCTCAGACTCCCCTTCTTATCTCCTCTGCTGATTCTTGCTCATCTCTTCAAATTCTGAAGGCTCAGTCCTTGTGCTTCTTCTCTTCTCTCTCTTCCTAGGCAATTTCATCCAATACAATGGCTTTAAATACCAACCTCCAAGTTTGCAGGACCCCAGAGTCTCTGCTCCTCACCCTGTGGCCCTGCTGCTGGCCTTGAAAATGTTTGCTCTGGCCAGACTACAGAATAGGCCACCTGTCCCCCTCCCATTTTCTTTTCTTTTTTCTTTTTTGAGGAGGAGTTTCGCTCTTGTTACCCAGGCTGGAGTGCAATGGCGCGATGTCAGCTCACTGCAACCTCCGCCTCCTGGGTTCAGGCAATTCTCCTGCCTCAGCCTCCTGAGTAGCTGGGATTACAGGCACGCACCACCATGCCCAGCTAATCTTTTGTATTTTTAGTAGCGACGGGGTTTCACCATGTTGACCAGGATGGTCTTGATCTCTTGACCTCGTGATCCACCCGCCTCGGCCTCCCAAAGTGCTGGGATTACAGGCGTGAGCCACTGCGCCCGCCCCCCCCCTCCCATTTTCTATCAGCCTCCACTGACATCCCCCAGCCCTGTCCCAGATCCCTCATCCTCTCCCCTTTTCCTCGGAGCCAGGAAGGAAGAGTGTCTGCACAGAAAGCCTATTGTCTGCTCATTCTCAGAGGCCTGCTCTCATCACCTCCCTCCAGGAAGCCTTCCTGGATAGCAAAGGCCCATTCCTGTGTGCACGCTTGCTGGGGTGCCTCGCACATCTGCCTTCCTGGCAACTGGTCAGGTTTGTGCCTCTCTGTGAGCTACCACGTGACCCTCCCACTGGGGACAGACTCCAGGCAGTATCCCTGGCAGTCCCCTCTTTTTCCTTCTAGTTCCTTGGACTCTTACCCCTTTGAGTATTTGATAACAGACATGGATTCTCTCCCCAGAAAAGTGTTTATGAACTCACTTTGCATTTAATTTCTGGGGGTTCAAGGATTCCCTGCAACCCCTCCATAGACCCCCCTCATAATCTCTGGGTAAGAACCCCCAAGCTAAGTGAGACAAGCGGAATCATGAGCATGTATGCACCATTCCCAGTGCTTGACTTGTAATAAGTGTTCAGTCGGCAAATACGTATCCTGCATCTACTATGTGGCAGGTGCTGCTCCATATACTGTTGACATAGTAGTGAGGACTGTAAGGTTCTTGCCCCAGGGAGCTGGCATTCTACAGGGGAGACCAACATAAATCACATGTATGTGTGTTGCAGTGTCAGGAGTGCTAAGAGGTGAGTAGAAGCTAGATCACCTAGGAACCTGTAGCTCACAGTAAGGACTTCAGACTTTGTCCGGAGCCTGATAGGACTCTGTTGAGCAGGGAGTGATGAGATCAGATTTTGAAAGACCATTCCGGCTGCTGTGTGCAGAGCAGGCTGTAGGGAATGGTGGACGTGCTACAGTGGCGAATATTCAGAAGTCAGGCTGACTCACCTGGCTCCAAGGCTGGGCACTGGCTCCCTGCACACTCTGGGCCTTGGAGCAGCAGGGCAGTCGGGGGAGGGGGCTTCCTGGCTCTGCTATAGCTCCCAGAATTCCCTATCACCTTCTCTCCCCTTATCAACCTCCTCCCTTCTCAGGCAAATGTCAGCAGGGTACCCGGGCTGTTTCTCCTGCCTCCTCTCCCCACACATTTTTCTTCCTGCTTTGGGTCTTGCTGTCCTTCCCTGGGCGTGTACTCTATGAATCTAGCTCTGTGCCAGGAATGCAGCAAGGGCCCAATCTATGGTACTTCTTGATTGAATGGGGCATGAGGAGGAAAGTGAACTGGAAGCATGCCAGGAATGCAGCAAGGGCCCAATCTATGGTACTTCTTGATTGAATGGGGCATGAGGAGGAAAGTGAACTAGAAGCAATGGCTTTGGCCCCAGGCAACTGGCCAGATGGCAATTCTTCCCATAATGTATCTACCTTGGTACATGCTATCTATACCTATGGGCTTATGTGTCTGTACCTGGATACCTGTGTGTGTGTGTGTGTGTGTGTGTGTGTGTGTGTGTGTGTGTGTGTGTGGCGGAGGGCAATACGTGCACCTGCAAGCCTCTTGTGAGTTCACCTTGGTGGATCCTGAAGCCTCCTGCCCTCAGGTCAGGAAGGGGACATCCTCATACCCCTGGCTGGGTATAGGCTCTGGACTCCCTTGGGCTGGGAAAGCAGTCTGAGAATCCCACTGTAGGTGGCAGTGGGACTGACTTTGAGTTCAGGATGTCACTGCACCCTGGGGAGACATTCCTAGAACTTCGTGGCACTGATCACTGCAAATGCTGACAAGCAGTTCTGAGGGAGGGCACAGATCAGCAGGTGAAGGGGAAGGATTTCTTGTTTGCCACTGGCCCCTTCTCATCATCTCCCAGGAAGAGGAGGGCCTTGTATAGGTCATCTGCCTCTCCTGCCCCCTCAGCCACCTCATCAGCATGCTGGGCCTGCTGCTGCAGAGGGGGTTTTCTGGCTTTGTGCCTTCAAGGCTGTGGGCAAGTCAACTTTGCAGAGAAGCAGAGAGAGCTGCTGGCCAGGTATCTGTAGGCCTCTCTAGGGAGAGTGTCAGGGTGGAAACCTGGGCTTCCCAGTACCTCCCAGTATGTGTGTCTCTCCGCAGTGCCCGGGCCTTAGGAGGGGCAGGGAGCAGGACTCGGTATTCTTTTGTAGACCTCATGTGCCTTTACAAGTGCCATCCCCGATGCTAGGCCCCCCAAAACTCACCATCCAGTAGGAGAGTTAGACCAGAAATAAATGAGTGGGACAAGCAAGACTGGCTTCAAGGTAGAAAAAGTGTTGGGGGCCAAAAGGCAGGAGCACTTTGCCCTTGCTTTCTTCAGGAGGCAGGAGAAGGGGAGAAGGAGTTTTTGTGAATGCAGGTGTGGGGCTCAGGACTAAGAAGTTCTTGGGCTTGGTGGTGCCTGGGGCAGGATGTAGTGGAGGGTGCAGTTATGAGAAGGGGAGGAGTAGATGGGGTGAGTTAGAGTGGAGGGGTTGTCCAGGTGGTGACATGCATTTCCTGATAGACTAGGCAGTTTGGCCTTTCTCCTGAGCACCCCACATCTTGCATGTTTGGAAGGAGTGACATGGCAAAATTTGTGTTTTTAAGAAGAGTGCATTGGCTTCTTTGGGGAGAGACTAGTGGGGTGTGATTGGAGGAAAGGAGGCCAGAGAAATGTCTCTTGGGTGATATGGAAAAGAGACAGTGGGGGACAGGTGGAGGTCGAGCTACTGTGCCTGGATGCACCTGGTAGCTGGATGTGGCCGGGCTGGTTGCCACCTTGCTGTGGGGCCAGACAGAGCTGGATTCTAGGGGACCTTCTGGGATTATCCCTGGGTGATGAGGTGGATGGTGGACTTACTAAGGGAAGGAGGATGAGAGATTCCAGGAAGATGGTGAGCTCAGCTTTGGACATGATAAATGGAAACATGCAGGTGCATGTGACCATCAGGCAGTTAGCAACGTCCAGACCCAGGAAAGAGGTCTGTGTCCCTGGTGAAAGAGGCATCCACAGTAGGGTACAGTTGAGAGTCCTAGGGAAGCAGAAGGTGGAGATGAGAAGAAAGGAGCAGAGGGTGGAAGTGGCTGCCTTAAGCAACATTAAGACTAAGGAAAGGAGCCCTTACAGGAGGCGGAGAAGTCGGAAGCGGGAGGAAGGCCTGGGGATCGTCAGGTCATGTGGCCGGAGAGTGACCTTAAGAAGATGTTGCTGCCATCTAACACCTCAGAAAGGCTAAGTGAGAAAGGCCCAAACGAAGTCTGTTTCTGGCAACCTGTGGTCCTTGGTAACCTCTAGAATTTCGAAGTGTTTGGGTTATAAGAGACCGAGGGGATATTTTATTCGGTTCTTCTCAGCAGGTGGTTTTAGAAGCTGCTGTGTTCCCAGTGTGCTGTTGTGTCCTTGGGTGATAACCGCACCCCCCACCCCCACCCCCATGCCCACAACCAGGATGTGTCTCTGGGTTCCAGGGAAAAATAAAAAGGGTGGTGAGAAGAAGCCACTTCATGAGAAATTCTGCATGGCATTAGGGCGGGAGACTGCACTGCTGAGAGGCCTCCAAGAGCATTGCCCAGTAAATGGGGAGGGAGGAGGGGATAGGACCTGATGTTGTTCCCAGAGCAACATGGCCTGCTCTCCTCTCTGGCTGCACATGCCTGAATACACTTCCCAGTCTCCCTTGCAGTTAGATGGTACCGTGTGACTGAGTCCTAGCCAATGGGATGTGAGCAGATGCATGGACCCTTTCAGACATGACCTTGTATAAGGAAACTCCCTTGTATAATTCTAGCTCTTCCTCCATTTGCCAGCAGAACAGAGAGGATTCTGGGATTCTAGAGAAGAGTGGAGCCACAAGATGGAGACTGGGTTTATGAATGACTGTGTGGAGCAGACTCCCTGCTGGGCGGTGCTGTGAGCACCAGATAAACTTTTATTGCATTCAGCCAAGTGAGATTTAGGTGTTTATCCATACAGCGGCTAGTGTCACCTGAATGGATACAGAGATTTTTCTCCCCTTTGCTGGCAACTGCCATGCACGTGTGATACTTCAAGGCTTAAGAGCAGTGTTGGCCCTATAGGGATGGAGGACACTGGAGGGGAGGTATCCTGGAGAAGTATTAGTGCCAGCAGCAGATGGGGTGGTAGCTGATATACTTGAGCACCTGTGGCAATTTTCCTGAGTATGGCTAGAAATACCACAATCCTCTAGGGACGATCCTGCAGTTACAATGGGGAAGAAATGCAGGTTATTACTCTGTGAAATCCCTTTGCATTTAGTTTATAATATAATAGTGGCTGGTATATAGTGAATGTGGTGATTATGGCTCTGAGGCTGGTTGAACAGAGGGAACAGGTTACACTGGGTGAAGTTCTGCTGAGTTTGTACCTTCTTTTTCCCTGTCTGCCTTTCTCTCCCAACTGTGGTTCAGGATACACTGTAGAACTATACAGTGGAAGCTGGGTGCAACCTTACAGGTGACGTGATTTCTCTTACATGTTGTATGTAGATCAGGAAGTTGACACAGGTGATATTAATGACTTCAGATCTGGCTTTGGAGTTAGGCCAGGAGATGGCATTCATTGTATCAGTGTCACTACTAGGGGACAGCCCCAGGTCTTCTGCCTCTCCAGCCAGAGTTCTCAAAATTAGAAAACTAACAATATAATGATTTTTTAAAAAGAGAAAGGCTGAGCATGGTGGCTCATGCCTGTAATCCCAGCAGTTTGGGAGGCCGAGGTGGGTGGATCATGAGGTCAGGAGTTCGAGAACAGCTTGGCCAACATAGTGAAACCCCATCTCTAGTAAAAATACAAAAAAAATTTAGCTGGGTGTGGTGGTGGGCACCTGTAATCCCAGCCACTAAGGAGGCTGAGGCAGGAGAATCACTCGAACTTGAGAGGTGGAGGCTGCAGTGAGCCAAGATCACACCACTGCACTCTCACTCTGTTGAGTGAGACTCTTGTCTTCAAAAAAAAAAAAAAAAAAAAAAAAAAAAAAAAGAAAAAATATCAGTTATATTCCTGATGCCTGGAGAGACCGCCATTGTTAACATTTTAGTTTATATCCTTCCAGTCTTTTTTTCTTATGTGTGGATGCACACAACACATTACCTATGTAGGATAATGTATATGCAATATTTATACTACATGTAGACTATGCAATATATTCTGCATATGGAATATAATATAGAATATACTATGTGTAAAATGACAATACACTGCAGATATACTGGGCTGGGAAGTCTCCCTGGGCATCTGGCTACCCTACTGGAGTTCTGGCTGTGGAGCCCAGTGATGTGGCCACATGAGCCTTGCTCTGGGCAGATAGATTGGACCAACAGAGTGCCAGAGATGGGACTGGGAGACAAGGCAGATGAGTGTGGAGAAAGATGGACACCACCAGTTGTTGGCTTCAGGAGCTGTAACAAAAGCAAATATTTGGAGGCTAGGATTGCTTAGCTTTCTCCTTGGAATCAGCAGACTCTCGGAGGCTGGGATTAATTTGAAGAAATTTACTAGCAGAGTTTGTGGCAGATAAAACAGTTTGCTTATTTCACACTTGTATGGCCACCTGCTAGGAACTGTTTGTTCAGTTTCAAATTCTTTAATTAAAATCAACATAAAACAGATTGAAAACATCCCAAGAAGGGGATGCTTGATTTGCTGGAGGATATTGCAGAAAGATGGAGCAAAGTGGCTCAAAAAACGCTTCGTCACCAAGCAAGCGGGCGGCAGGGACGTGCAGCCTGGCTGACTGTGGGATTCAAGAGTGTGAGTGTGTGTGCCAGAGGCTGGCAGGAAGTACCGAGAACTCGCTTGAGCTTTCGTCCCACTTCGGGCGTTTTTCATGATGGTGGTGGGCTGGGGTGGAAAAGTGAAAGGTCCTTTTTGCTTCTACCCCTTAGAAAAGTCCAGTTTCACATTCATTCCTTCACCAAATAGTCATTGAATTTCTCTATGTCGGAAATTGTGAATAACATGCAATCCTTGACCTCAAGAAGCTCAGGATGGGTAAGGGAAACGGGAAAGTGAAATAGCAATTTTAACCAGTACATGCTATGTGCTGCAGTAAGAGTTAATGCTGGGTGCCATGGGAACCCTCTGACCTGTGGAAGAGGTGAGGAGCTCAGGTTAGATTTCTAAGAAGACATGACACCTACCTCAGCTGAGATCCAATGAGTGGATAGAAATTATTCCAGTTAAAATGATTTTTCAGTTAGCTTCTGCTACAATATGCTGTGTAACAAATACCTACCATCTCTCAGTGGCAAATAACAATACCGTTTATCTGTGTCTATGTGTTGGTTCAGGGTCTGCTGATCTTGGCTGGGCCTGATCAGGCAAGTCTGCTCCATGAGCCTCTTTCCCCCTCTGGAACCAGCAGGCTAGCTTGGCATGATTCTAATGGTGACAGAGAAAGGAGAAGAGAGAAAGCTCAATCACACTTCTTCTAACATTCCATTGGCCAAAGCAAGTAGCAAGTTATATGTCTGCACCCAAGGTTAAAAGGCTGGGAAATATATTACATATATTCCACTTCAGTGGGATAATACACACACCCAGCTCTTCGGAATGGTGGTCATTAATACAGCCCATCACACATGGGATAGATGCAGTGGTGGTGGTGGGGTATTATAGGATGAGGGACAGCATGTGCATTATGGGGGCTGGGCAGGCTAGGCACTGTCTGTAGGATCATGTATATGAGGAGGGGCTTGCAAGACTCCTAGAAGGGCATGCAGGAGGAAAAGAGAAAGGTCTTATCTGTCAGCACAATCTTTGGATTTTGGATTTTGTCCCCAGGCCACTGAGGAAGTGCTGTTGAGGATTTTTTTTTTTTTTCCTTAACAGATGGAGTCTTGCTCTGTTGCCCAGGCTGGAGTGCAGTGGTGTGATCTCGGCTCACCGCAACCTCTGCCTCCTGGGTTGAAGTGATTCTTCTGCCTCAGCTTCCTGAGTAGCTGGGATTACAGGTGTGCACCACCACACCAGGCTAATTTTTTGTATTTTAGTAGAGACAGGATTTCACCATATTGACTAGGCTGGTCTTGAACTCCTGACCTAGTGATCCGCTCACCTCGGCCTTCCAAAGTGCTGGGATTACATGCATGAGCTACTGTGCCCAGCCTTTGCCGGGGGCGGGGGGGAGGTGTTTAAGTGGGGAATGACCTGATCAGATTTTGCCTTAACATAATCTCTCTGGCTGGCTTCAGAGTGGAGAACAGAGTGGATAGGACAGAGGTTCAGGGTTAGAAGACCAGTTAGGAGCCTTCCAGTAACCTAGGCTTCCACGGGAGCTGATTTCATGATCAGGAGACTCAGGTTGTAACCTCCTGTTTTTATAAAGCATTTTTTCTAGATGCTTGTTAAACTTTACTCATGGTATGCAAGCTCATAGCAAAAAGCCCTGCTGCTGTTACAGCAAATGGAATCAGTGGAGATGGTAAAGGAATAGGAGGCTTGCTGGTCCTAATATATCCCATTCACTTTGGCCTTGACTCATATCAGTAACTGGTCCTCTGAACCTCACCATCATCTCTTAGGCACCACAGCTCTCGAGCAAGCAGAAGCTAGAGGTTGGTATCCAGGGTAGAAATTTCTCTGCTCGGTTGGGCATGGTGGGTCACACCTGTACTCCCAGCACTTTGGGAGGCCAAGGCAGGTGGATCACTTGAGGTCAGGGGTTTGAGACCAGCCTGGCCAACATGATGAAACTCCATCTCTACTAAAAATACAAAAAACTAGCTGGGCATGGTGGTGCACGTCTGTAATCCCAGCTACTCGGGAGGCTGAAGTATAAGAATCTCTTGAACCCAGGAGGCAGAGGTTGCAGCGAGCTGAGATTGTGCCACTGCACTCCAGCCTGGGCAACAGAGCAAGACTACGTTTAAAAAAAAAAAAAAATTGCTCCACTCACCCTGAGGTGATCTCTCCATACTCCCTCCCTTCCCCAAGCCCTACTACCTTTGGATCCAGCTGTTGCAGATGCTCTGCAGACATCACTGGGCATAGGGACTATCTGCTGGAGATTGTGGCCCTGGTGTCCCTGTGGGGAAGGCCAGCTCAGTGGGCTCTGCCCAGTGCCCATTTCCTGACACCTGCTTTTAATGCCGGATTTTGAGTTAGCCACTTGGCATTTTGCATCCATCCCCTACTGGCTTGACATAGTGGGAAAGACACTGTAGTCAGAGTCCAAAGACAGTGGGGTTGGATCTCACTTCAGCTCCCTGTAGGTCCTGGGATCTTGAACAAGTCACTGGAGCTCTCTGGGCCTTGGTTTCCTCATTGTTGGTTGATCTCAGCTGGTAAAGTCACCAAATGTGGCCTTGGGTGTGAAATATCCTGGAAAACCTCTCACTCCTCAATTCCTGGCCCAGATACCCGCAAGCATCCTAGAATGGCAGCTGAAACTTAGCTCCTCTTCCTGGAGGGCCTAAGCAGACCTCTGCCAAAGCTCCCCTGGCTTTAGATGGCTCCTATGGAAACGCAAGCCTCTCATCCATGTGTTGTTGTGCCTCTGAGCCCACAAACTCTGGCACAGAACTGGCAGCTTCCAGGTAAATACATGTTGAATATGGAGTGTAAACTCTTTCTAGCCTAATCTGGCCTGACAAATTCGCCCACTCGTTCTCCTTTTCCTTCTGAAGACAGTTCCTTCCCATGCCTGGTGCTCAGGACCAGGATTTGCTCCCAGGGTGTTGGGCAGGCCTATGTTTAGATTCCCCTTCTTCCTAACCTGCAAGGATCTTTATAAAGCACTGGACCCACGGGAGCATAGTGGACTGGTTATGGCTTTGGAGCTGAAGCCCAGGATTCAAGGCATCTTGACATTGATGCTCACTGGCTGTGGCCAGGGGGACTCACCAAAATCCTCTGAGCTCCAGTTAGTTTATGCATCTAGGAAACAGGGATGCTAATGATTTTATGGCTATTGTTGATTGTCTCTTTTGAGCAGTTCTTGTGTGCTTGGTATGAAAACCATCATCACCACTACCATTATCACAGTGCTGGGGCTGCCAGTCCTTGAGAGCTTATTATGGTCCTGGCAGACTTGACTTTGTGAAGAATAATAGCTCATTAACCCACACAAATTTCCCCAGGGCCTGTTTTCTTGTTTCTGGGTGCCCACCTGCCTGCTCTGGTGTGAGGAGCAAAGGAAATGACTCTGTGTGTGTGTGTGTGTGTGTGTGTGTGTGTGTGTGTGTGTGTGTGTGTGTATTAAGGGACAGGAAGTGGGGAGATAGGCATGAGAGGTCTGGATGGGCCTTCCTACCTTGTTTTAGGAGAAGCAGCTCAGGTAAGCGAAAACTGTTTGGATTCTGGAGTTGAAGAGAGCAGGGTTTGAATCCCAGCTCTGCCTCTTTCTACTGTGAAGTTTTGAGCCAGACGCATAGCCACTTTGAGCCTCAGTTTCCCTATATGCAAAATGGGCTAAGACCTTGAAGATGAATGAGATGACAATTACAAAGCAGCAGCAGAAGGCAGGAAGTGCATCAGATGCACGACACTAAGCCACTTGTAAAGTGGTTAGCAGGTAGCCTAGTTCGTAGGACATACTAAAAAATGAAACTCACTTTCTGTGCCTTTATTTTGATTTGATCATCATCAAATGGCTTTTGAGGATAGGTAAAGAGGATTACAGTCATCCAGGGGAGAAACTGAGGCTCAGCAATGTCAAGTGACTTGCCTAAGGCCACACAGTGAGCAAATCACCAGGCTTGTCTGACACTGGGTCCTGCTTACCTCCAGCCTTGCTGACCTTCCTGACACAGCCACCTGCCTCCCTGACATCTCTGTGCCTGGCTCTGGGCCTGAGGCAATGGCTGGGACCCTGTGGTGTCCGGTAGCTAGCCTGCACCTTCTGTCCTTGTCCAGCCCTCTACACCCCATGTCCCTCATCACCAGCTCCCCAGACTCTGCTTCTCGGCCGAGGGGCACACTGCCGTGAATCAGCCTCCTTTGTGGCGTTGATTAGAGGCCTCCTCCTACAAACATCAAAGCTTCAATTAACATGGGCCGCTTGCAACCCTCTTGCGAAACTCTGATAAGAATAGAATTTTCTCTTGGAAAATGGATTTTTATTTAGTTGTGTGTACTGTTGGTTAAATGACCTACTCTATACACTGGCGCTGAGATTCTGGGGACAATTAGGGGGCTCGTCAGGAGCTGGTTATCTGAAGGAAACAGGCGCCGGGCTATTTAGCTGTCTAATATCCTGACGGGGGGCGGGGGCAGAGGCAAATTAAAAAAAATGCTTCTCTCCTTCTCTAGATACGGGAGTGGAGGGTGGTATGCTGAGTAGGGGCTTGTGGGGCGGGAAGTAGTCCCTGCTCTCCTGGGGGTAGGGCTGGGTTGGTTGGCCCCAGCCTTGTCTTGACTGTGTGTTTGTAGAGTGTGCAGGAGTCTCAGATGCTGCTTAGAGCATAGCCTGGCCTCAAAGAGGACCCGGGGAGCTGGCTGGCTGGGTGTGGAGGGGGCAGGATTCAAGAACACAGCAGGGCTGGGTGCACCTGAGCTGGAGGCATGGGAGGCTGAGGCTGGTAGCCCCTGCTTTTTTGATAATCACTCCTCTTATTAAACTTGCCTTCTTCAAGAGATGAGATAGGTTAATGTTCAGAAAATGCTCTCTTCAATCTCAATGCTTCTAGGGAAGAAAAAGAACCACTCCTCCCCTGTCTAGGATCTCTGAGAGGTCATCGACTTAGGCCCCCATCAGGCTGTAACCCTTTTGGTTCCAAAGATCCTTCCAAAAAGGGAAGCCCTCGATTCCTTCCATCTCTCCTTGAGCTTCCATTCACTGACAGAAAAGTTCTTCCCATCGTCTAACCACATTTCTCCAGCTGCACTTTAAGTCTATCCTGAATGTAGATACATCAGACAGAGTGAGAGACTTATGGTTAGGGGAGTGGCCTGCTTGGGAGTGGGACAGTTTGGGGTGGGTGTGAGGGTGGACAGCTGGCTGGGGAAGGCAGGGTGCAGACGAGCTGGTCGGCAAACTGCTCTTCTTCCTTGAGTTGGGGAGGTCTGGTGTAGCATCACTGTATTGATTCAATTATTCCCTACAATGTAATACTCTGCATTTGTGTGATAGCAACAAACAGAGTTGAAAGACATACAAAAATAAATGATCTGAAAGTTAATATGGCTGAATGGGCATCTATGTATTCGAGGAGAGAGGTTTTGTTTTACATTGTAAAATCAATAGCGTGCAGAACAATGTCCTAACTTCCCCTGGGAACCCCAGCGAACCTGCCCGTATCGATTGCCATGCAAATTAATTGAATTCATGAAATCCACATAGCTGGGTAATTGATGCTTCTTATAATTACCTCCAAGTTATGAGCTTTTAGGGGATTGCATTGATTCTTGGGCAGTGGGAAGGGCAGGGGAGGGTGAGGGGAAGAGGCGCTTCCTGGAACTGCGGCCAGTGGCTGTCCAGGTGGGCAGTGGGCAGGTGGGGGTTGACCAAGGCTTGAGTCAGGGTCATTTGCCTGGTGGTTAGGGGGGGCAGGGGTAGGTGGGATCTTCATCTCAGTTTGCTGACCCAGCCCAGGTGAAGCTGGGAGTTTGGGGAAGCCTGAACAAGTACACTTTGACATTTGAGAGTCCCCTTGGGAGGAAGGCTGCCGTGGCCTCTGGGGCTCCTTGGGTGCCAAGACTATCTTCAGGGAGGAATAATAGCAAACATTCATTTAAATTTATTATGTGCCAGGCTTTGTTCCAGGTATGTTGCAAACTCAATATATCCTCCAGACAACCACGAGGCATGTACTATTATGATTACTTTTGGTTGTTGAAGAAATGAGGCACAGAGAGTTAGGTAAGTTGTCCAAGTGACAGAGCTGGAATCCTTGACCACAGGCTAATCCATGAATGGACTTCAGGAGCCAACCCCCTATCACATGAGCAGTCTGCATGTTGATGCACGCGTTTCTCAGAGGGAGAGTCTGTAACTTTTATCATAATCACGGATGCAAATATCTGTTATATAAACATTGTTTCTATTAATATTATTCCTTATATTTGTGCAGTGATGAGTGTTTTAATTCACGTCCTTGCAGGACATAATGTGTGACCTTGCAAGAGCCACATAACTTATCTGAGCCTCTTCTACACCTGCAAAAGCAGGAGGTTGGGATGGATGTTGTCCAGGTCTCTTTGCAGCTCTGGCATCTGTGGGTGATGCAGGACATTTGCTCATATGGACCTCCCAAGAAGCCCTGAGCTAAGGAGGATGCTGGGCAAATGTGGAACCACAGGCACAATGTGGCTGGGTCTCTCAGGGCTGCTCATGCAGCAGGGTAGCGGCAGGGACATGATTAGGACAGGTGGTGCCAGTCTTCAAGCCAGGTGTGCCTCAGCCCTAGCCGAGGCACATAGCTGTGTCTGTGTGGGTGGGACCAGGAACAAGGTTGACCAACTCAATCTCACCAGTCTTTCCTGGAAACACTGAACAACCCAGAACCTGCCCATGCCCTACACAGTCAGGCCCGCTTTGAGTTTCATTTGGAGCTCTGGCTATGGCAGGACCTGTTGATGCCCTGCCTGGGTCCCTGTGTCTCATCTCCTCTCCTGACCCCACCCACTGCCATGGACACTGACTGGGTCACTGCTGTGGGTTTGATGCTCTATTGGGGGTTGTGGCTCCAGACGCAGTCACAGGCCCCCATATTAGCTATCTACTGTAACAAATGATTCCAGCACTCAGCAGCTTAAGGCAGCAAACATGGATGATCTCATACAGTTTCTGTGAATTGGGAGCTTGAGAGTGGCTTAGCTAGATGTTTCTGGCATGAGGTCTATCATGAAGTTGTAGTCAAGAGGTTGGCTGGGGCTGTCATCTCATCTGAAGGCTTGACTGTGGCTGTGGGATCCACTTCCAAGATGATTTACTTGCATGGCTCACAAGGCCTGCTGGCTACTGGCAGGAAGCCGCTGTTCTTTGCCCTGTGGACTTCTCCACAGGACTGCTTGAGTGTCTCCAGGGCATGGCTTTCCCTACAATGGGTGATCCGAGAGAGAGAGAGAGCTTAAGAAGAAAGCAGCAATGTCTTTTATGAGCTAGTTTCAGAAGTTACCCTGTAACTTTGAACAATTCTTTTAATTTGAAGTGAGTCACTAAGTCTGGTCACGTTCAAGTGGAGGGGAATGAGGCCTTTTTTTTTTTTTTTTTTGGAAGGAATATTAAAAAAAAAATTGTAGACACATTTTAAAACCAACATACTTTCAACTGTTCTTTTTGGCTGGCAAATGGTAAACCACTCAGCTCTTAGCCAGACACCAACCAGGGCTCTACCAAAGGATCTTTGGGGACAGTACCTCCTGACTGGCTCACAGTGCTTCTGATCATGGGAGGTGAGGCTGTCCCCTTTCCAGTCCATTTATAGCCACTTCCTTTTATTCTAGCTCACTGTTTTCTGCTTACTCTTTATAACAATGATATTTACCCTCAGTTGAGCATCTGCTATGTGCTCAATTAATAATCCTTAAGAAACTCTGCAAGGTGGGGAAGACAGGTTCAGAAAAATTAGATGACTTGCCCTGGGCCCCACACTAGCCCCTGGCAGACCTGGGCTCCCCCTGGGCTTCTCTGTCTTGCCTGCTGCAGGCTCCTGCACCCCCTGCCTGATGAGCCTTCCCCTGGTCTCAGCCCTGCCCTGTCTTCAGGCATGGCCCCTTGGGGGAGGCTCCCTTTGATGAGCCCCTGGGTGGCAGTGAGTGATCCAGGATTCCTTCCCTGTCCCTGTCCTCTTATCGTTGTTTGTATACACACCTTGCTTCCCCTACTAACCCATGAGTGTCTTCAGGACATATGTTTGTCAATGGTTCCCATGTCCCCCAGAGTGCCCAGCAAAGCACCTGGCACACAGCACGACTCAGGATTTGGGACCTAAGTG